AGACTGTCACTTCTTACAGAGCAAGACTTATGGACTGTTAATGGACTTCCAAATGAAAATAACTCTTCAGATCATTTGCCTTTATTGGCTAAGTTCAGACTTGAACACTGATTCTTCTTTGATTATGTACTAATTTTCTGTCTGATTTGTAAATTTCAGAGAATGTAAAGTTTTTCAGAGAATATAAAGTTTCTAAGTGTTGGCGTGTTGCTTATTTTTATGCTGTGACTCCAAAAAGTTTCTGAAGAAATTGTTAGATGCTTTGAAACATATAAGAAAAAACAAATTTATAACAGTTTTCCTTTTTAATAATGAAAAATATTTTCCTGACAAGTGAGATCTAAATACTCTTTATTGTAAAAGAGATGTAAATATTTTGTATTCTAAATCCTAGTATAATTGACAGTGATTTTTAAATATAGTGCATCTTCTTTAGTCCACTTCATAAAGAATTTCATGTTTTTGGCAAGCTTTACAGTAGATCCAGACTACCTTGGTGTTCTTGCAGACCATAGCTCATTTCATTTATAGAAGGTTTGATGTCATTGAGAGATTCCTCTGTTGAGTCCTAATTAGTTCATCTAGAAATCATTGGATCATTCATAGGTGTCCAGCCAACCATTTTAGTTTGTTTACGAAGGAACTTGATAACGCCTTTTAAATTGTACAAAATGCTTAATCCATCTTATTACTGTCCTGAGCCATGCAGTATACCTGCATTTTGTTACGGGAAATGTTTGGCAAATAGGTCACCATAACTAGCAAGAGGACAAGGTGTTTTAACTCTCTATCCTGTAACAGACAGAGGTGGGCCTAAGAGGCAGAGACTGGGGTTATGCCTCTGTTTCCCTTGCATTTTTTTTCTTCTGTTCTCTTTCAAGAAAAGATCCCTGGTTTGGGGAAGAGATTTTATTTTGCTGAACCAATTCTGTAGAAATTTATTAAGAAAATTGTCTTTGAAACAAAGTGGCAGCTATGAGATTATTTTTGTTATGCCTCAGAAACAGGAGGAAACCTGTAAAACTCTAGTGGCAGTATATTAACTTGGAGCTCTAATATTCTTTAAGTAGTCATTTTAACTGTTGGTTTTAGTGGTTTTGTTTCTCAAATGTTTTGTTTCCTTTTACAGTGATGCACCAGTGTGAGGTAGTGCTGATGCATTTTACTAAGAGTTATGAGCAGGTCTAAGAATTCCTCTATACAAGTGTGTTTGGATAAAAAATTTTAAAACATAAGAAAAAGTAGAAATTTCTTCTTTTTTAGATAGTAGGATCAAAGAATTATATGCATTTTTACCAAGTAGTATTTTACACTGAATTATAAATGTTTGTAGGTTTTATTAATAGAATGCTTCATCTTAAGTTAGAAAACAATAAGCCTTGAATCTAAACCATTTTTATACTAATGCATTTACTACAATTATTTTTTTAAATAACCCAGATGCAAGACTCAAAGAAGGCATGTGGGTTATAATGATTTGCCTTGTAAAAATTGTAATAAGTGAATACTTTTAACTATTTAATTTCTCACTTTTTGGTGTTTTTAAATTACAGTATTAACTTTATTCTCAGGATTTTTCACAATTTTTAGTAGTAGTTTGAGAAATATTATATGTCCTAATTAGCAGATATAGTCATCATCAAATTATAATGACAGCATAATTATCTCTTTTTTGTTATTGGGGAAAGAAAAATGAAAAGTTATTGGTAACTACTGCTTTGTGTTGTGTGAGTGTATTAACAAATAACCTTATTATATGTAGGTCATTGTTAACAAACTAACCTCCCTAAAAACTTTTTTTATATCCTGGTTAATATATTATAATTTTAGGCCCACTTCATATGTTTCTCTTGATAGAACTAACCCATAAAATTGCTTTCTACCTTAGTGTATCAAATAAAGTATTATTTTGTGGACCAGAGACCAAAAGGTTAATGCAAGCTTCTCACAGGTTGTTAAAGCTCCACTAAACAAAATTATCCACTAGTTTTTACTTTTTTTGACCAAAAGAGTTGGTGACCTGCTGGAGCCCTGTATTTATCTGCCAAAAACATTAAATCTGGTTAATTGCTGAAGCCAAATTTCTGTCTCAAGAGCTGTACTATCCAAGTTTTAAATGGAAAGGGAAATTGTGGAGTAATGACATTTTATTTTTACCATATCTTTTGATACTGAGATGACATGCATGTTTGAAATCTTGTGGGGTTTTTTTTGTTTTTTGTGGGTTTTTTTTGGAATTTAGCAACTGTCTGCTTTTTAACCCTTTGGTTTCTTAAATTAAAAAATTAGAGATCCAGAAAGTTCAAAGGGTTGGGGAAACAGAGGTGTCAAGTCATTTGCACTTTGTACCTGTACATTATGTAATAAATTATTATGCTTATACATCTGTGCTTGAAGGTTTTTTGGGAGTGTACTAAGCTGTATAAGCTGTCCTGTGGCCTCTTCTAAACTATTTTTTACGCTTTCCAGTCATTTTTACTTAGAGTGATGGCAAAAGATAAATGAACTGAGATAAGGCAAAATAGAGGGATATTTGATATAGAGCCTGAAGACTGTGAAAGAAGGATGAGAGAATGATAAATTAGTTCACTAGAACAAATACATAATAAGAAAACAAGACTGTCTTACGTTTTTAGCAGGAAAACAGTCCTTAAGTTTCCAGGATGGTTTATTAAAGTCCCATGCTGTGTATAAACATACAAGTAATGAGAAGAACATTAACTTGAAACATGCACTTATCTGGCATTCTCTAAAATACCATTATACAAGTTTTCGTTTACTTAGAAAAATACTAAAGCAATCACAGTTTTTCTTAAAGACTTAAAAAAAATGTATTGTCCAGAACAAAGTCCAAGAGAATAAACAAGATTCTGAATTGTATGTCAAAAAAACTGTACAAGATTGTACATAAAACTATAGCTTACAAAAGCCTCAGGTATAGTAAGAATTCTGAATTAAGATTTCCAAAGTTCTATTTACCAATATCTTTTAATAAAATCCTTATGAAATAATTGACTTAGAAAAAGTGAAATGCTCATGATTTCAGAGTGTATAGAAAATACTAAATATCACTTTCTGAAATAAAGTGTACTCAAAACAGCACAACATATTGTCTAAAATCAAGATTTCTGTCATTCATTTAAACTTTGCATATATTGCCATGATGGCTTAAGCATAAAATTTTTCTTGCATTAATAACTTTTTAAAAACTAGATTTCAAATAATTTCATAGTATTGTTTTTTATCTTTTGAATTATAGCCAGTCTTAAAATCACTTTCGGGGGATAAAATATGTCAAGGGTTTTTTCTTAATATTAAGTAAATTATTGCACTGGAATTTAGAAGTTTGGTGCCTTTCTAATGTCCTTTAGAAATTAACATATAGCCGGGCTCGGTGGCTCAGCCTGTAATCCCGCGCCTTTGAGAGGCTGAGGTGAGTGGATTGCCTGAGCCCGCGGGTTCAAGACCCACCTGCGCAGCGAGACCTCATCTCTACAATAAATCAAAAAATCAGCTGGGCATGGTAGCGTATGCCTGTAATTCCGGCTACTTGGAAGGCTGAGGCGGAAGGATCGCCGGAGCCCAGCAGGTCGAGGCTGCGGTGGCCGGAAGCGGCCACTGCACTCCAGTCTGGGCGACTGAGTGAGACTCCAACTCAAAAAAAATAATAATAATAAAATTAAATTAAAAAAAAAAAGAAATTAACATATTCCATAGGCAATACTAGAGTGACACTACGAACATTTTTAATGAATTTTCGCATTTGTGTGACTCACCCTTGCTTTGGGTAAATGAATCCTAAAAGTCAAGGAGTGAATGTGGAAGAAATTGGGTTACTAATCAAATCATCAAGCTAGTTGGCAGTTTCAAGGGTTCTTTATCAGCATATTAGAAAGAATTCATATTCCTTTTCCCCCTTTTTTTGGGAAGCAAGAGGCTATGCAACTATTTAACATTCTGTATTATAGATGGGACAGTACTTAAGTAATACTTGGCAAATCCTATTCCAAGTCTTAGAACGGTTGCAGTGATATAAGTAGTCTACATTAGACATAATCAAGTTTCAGATTGATAAAACAGAAAAGATATATCGCTGAGTCAGTATTGTTTTAGAATGAACGAAAGGATTCACTGACTACTGCAAGCATTTAAATACATGTGGCCGGGAGGCTGCAAATGGGTTTGCTGTGTGAAGACAAAGTTAACCCATTTTAAATTCTGATAATACTATTCTTGAAGTAAGAGATTAAGCTTAGAATTTTTAAATTGTGCTGCATTTTAATCTAATTGAGTTATATACTTACTTGGTTCTGTTCATCTAATGGACATTAGATGTCCTTCTTTTTCAAGAAAACAGTACTCTTCATAAATACTGATTTTCAGGGTGAAGTGAGCTCTTGTGCAATAGCTGAAGGATGAGGTCCATTTGCTTTCCATGTCATCCCCAAAGGTTTTATTGTCAAGGAATATCAGTGAGCAAATTCTAACATTTTTACTTCTTTCCTACTGTTACCTTCAGCCAAAGAAAGCCAGAGTAGCAGCAATGAGACTGAAATAACATTTGTTGACTAGGCGCGACTTCACTTAAATAGGCTTTATGGCCTTATGAGTTGGCATCGTTGTGAAAATAAGGCAAGTGAAATAAAGCTGTATCCTTGATATTTGTACCATACAGATTATGTATGCTGTCAGAATTGTCCTGTATGGTCTGCAGCCAGAAGTTACACTGTGACTACCACATGGAGGCCAGATATACTTATTCTGTGCTTCATGGACTAAGTCACACCTGTACGGTGTAGCACTGTACCGGAAGAAGTCCATGAAGAAAAAAAAGTTCAGCTTCTCTAATTCATTGTATTTTCCAATTAGTTCCTAAATGTCATGAAGTGGTACCTAAAAGAAAGGTACTGGGAAATAATTGCATCGTGTCTTATTTTGTCTTAATATAAGACAAGAGTTCTTCAGAATCAAAGTCTGACTTAGAGTTTAACAATCAGATGAAATGTGAACAGAAGGGTTATCTGGTTTCCAAGACCTGCTGATTAATTCCTGGTCTCTTTGCCTGAGTGTGTTACTGTCAGAGGTAATCGCAATACTGCTAAATGTGTGTAACAGTGCATGCCCTCTTGTGCTTTTTGCTGGAGTCTGCAAAGTTTAAATGTTAGTGACAGAACAAAGACTAACTTCTGAATGTGATTTTTTTGTTTTGTTTTGAAAAAACAAAAATTGTGAGTGAATACTTCAAGAAAGATTAAGAAGGAAGTTACTCCAAGATCCTAAAAGTGGTGTCTCGTATTGCCAGAAGAATTTCAGTGCTTTTTAATAAAACACTTGCATATAATACCTTAAACCTCATCACATGTGTGCACCAGGAAAAAACTCCAAACTTGTGGAGATCCCCATGAAATATTGGGGAAACAATACAAATAGAATATAAAAAAAAACAAAACACCATCAAGTTTGCATATCTGATGTCAAAATGCTGAGGTAATATCAACTGCTTAAAAAAAGCCCACCCATTTTTGCTTCTGTTATTGCTGAAAAAGACAGTAATACTGTTTGAGTTACCTTACTATACCAAAAGTTCAAGAGAGGATTTCATGAACATTTACTATTGGTGAGGCATAATGTTCAAAGCAAGTCAAGAAAATAGGTACATGGAAAAATATAAACTACGGTTATGGTTGTCATCCTTAAGATTGAGTGAGGGAGAGAGTCCAACTCTAGTGGGGTTTATCACTTTAGCCTTTTCACGGTTAACCTCATAGTGAGTTTTTAAAGCTAATTGTTACCACCCACTCAGATTCTCTATTTCCAGGTGAATCCTTAAAAATAAAATTCACAAGTTCTTAATAAATAGTTCAGTTCCTCCTGAAGATACTGGGTAAAGTGCAGAGAGAAGCACCACAGAAACCTTCTTGCTGGCCGGTATGGCTTGGCTAAATTCGGATTTGATACCCCACTTCATTCAGAGTGCTGAGATCAGCAGCCTTCTTCTCAGGCAATGCAGGCCTAAGGGTAAAAGACAGAAATTCAGTGGGGCAGGGGGTGGGACAGAGATCATTGAGCATCTTCAAGGACCTCTACTCAGTTTCCCTAACCCTTCTGATATTTGTCTCACTCCCCCACCCTTCCCCCAGGCTTAGCTCACAACCTCTTTTTCTTAAGTACACATTTGTAGGGTTTTTTTGTTTTTGTTTTTTAAAGTAGGGTCTCACTCTCATCCAGGCTGGAGTGCAATAGGATCCTGGCTCATCGCAGCTGCAACCTCCTAGGCTCAAGTGATCCTTCTGCCTAAGCCTCCCTAGTAGCCGAGATTACAGGCATCCACCACCGAGCATGGTTAATTTTTGCATTTTTTTTACAGATGAGTTCTCACTATATTGCCCAGGCTGGTCTTGAACTCCAGGGCGCAAGTAGTTCTCTTGCCTTGGCCTCCCAGAGTGCTGGGATTACTGCCATAAGTCAACTGAGCCTGGCCCTTTGTAGGTTTTAAGGAACATTTTAATGACTTTCAAAAAATGAGCTTTTTCAGCTTTAAGCCTGAATTTGATCATACTCTAACTTTTGAAACCCAGTATATCTGTGAACCATGCCAGGGTCTAAAAGTCATATATACTACAGTAGAAATCTGAGTGAAAATCTGAATCAATTTTTCCTGAAACATTGGCTTCCTAGTGTTAGTGCCCTGGAGGATGCCCAGGAATTACAAGATGATTCAGGTGACTCGGTTCAGGGAGAGATTCCCCATTATCTTTGATAGAGGGTTAATGTTCCAGGATTGACTGAATAAAACCCAGGTGAATCTTAGAATTCATCTGAAAAATCATGCCAATGTGGAAAAATCATTCAGTGGCAAACCATCTCTTCCCTAAAAACATTTGTTGAAGTAATTTTCAATATAAAACAACATCTAAGAATTTATGTAAAGTCATGTACGTAAAGTACTTCAAGCTGGGAAAAATAACATTCAGATGCACATCATCTGTCTTAATTAAAGACACTACCTAAATAACTTTACAATATAAAACTATGCCCATTCTCACAATTTATCTTACAATTTTTCCATTTTTTTAATGAGCCTCTTCTGACTTTCTTTGATAAGAAATAACAGATTGTGAATCAAGTTTAGAATGTTCAGTACGGTTAGTGAGTTCTAATTCAGAAGTTTCACATTTAGTCATTTTTATAAGAAAATAGGCATTTTTAGGTTGCACATAAACTTTGTTCTGAAGTGTTAAATTAAAAATAAAAAGACCACAGTGAAATACAATTGTTAAAAAGCTTCTCAGTTTTACCTTTGAAAGATTCCATAACAGCAAATGGTTTTTCCCCGGGCAGGAGAGTGGTCCAACTCATTCAACATGGAACTAGAAATCAATAGCTAGCTTCTATCTAGAGCCCAACTCAATCTATGGCATTGGTGTCTGCCAACAAGTCCACTACCCCTTCTGTCTCTCTGAAATGGGAGGGAACGGTCATCAACAGTCTATGATCATCCCCTCTGAAATTTGACTACTCAAGGTGGTCAAGAAGCCTTCCCTGACAGGGCCCTACTAAAATAACTTGTCACCTTACTTGTCTCCGTTGCATAGGGCTTGCTTATTTCTTAGCTTGACCATATATATGCCCTGCTGTATTGGTCAGGACTCATGCCACTTATTTCTTTGTGTCTCTTCTCATGCTGCCTGGGACACACTCGTGATGCTAATCTAGCTGACTGCTGGTAAAAATCCCAACACTTTTTGTATGTAGACTCCTACTTGTTATACCAGAACTCAAGGCTTACGGCCTTCAGGAGAATGATGTCCTCTAGTCCAGACATGCCATGAAGATGAACCATCATCCCCTTTAAATAGGGCCACTATCCACAGGCCTGGAGGAGAGGCTTCCGGGGAATACTGTGAGTGGCAGTATTTGGGGTAACAGTAAAGGGAATGCACTTTTGCTGGAGATTCAAACTTAAACTTCTATTTTTGCCGTAGTTCTCAGCCCACTAATGTGGAGGGAGCTAGGGATCCTATAGACAAGTCAGGTGTAAAGAGTTCACATGCTTGTTCATTTTGTCATAAAGCCTAAAATGAAGTTTCTGTTTTGTCCCCTTGCCTGAGCTGGTGCCATCTTTATGAACTGTTCACTTGAGGCGTTTCCTCTCAGGTAGACTCCCCATACATCAACATTATCCTAAGGCAAGTGTGATTAGAAAGGGAAATTGCCTCATCCCAAATGCACCCACCTTTAGGAAATTCAGTAATAAAAATTCATTTGCCAAAGGATTAGCCTGACGTACCGATATGCATTCTTTGCTTTAGAAAAGAATTAAATGCGGGTCATTTCCTAGTGCTATTAAAGTATGATTTTTGCCTGGTGCAGTGGCTCACACCTGTAATCCTAGCAATTTGGGATAAATTAGCTGGGCATGGTGTCATGTCCAACTACTTGGAAGGCTCAGGCGGAAGGATCACCTGAGCACAGCAGGTAGAGGCTGTGGTGGCTGTGAACTTGCCACTACATTCCAGCCTGGGCGACAGAGTGAGACTCCCACTCAATAAATAAATAAATAAAATGCGATTTTCACACTTTTCCTACATTCATATTCGATGATATACATATACATATATATGTGTATGTGTATGTATATATATAACCTTACCCACAGCCAAATCTGATCCTAACTGATACCATATTTCCCTCTATTACCTAACCAATACGATGCTGATTCAGACATAATTCTAGGACCGTTGATGCTGAGTCAGCCTGAGGAAGGTCAGTATGTGGAACAAGGAGAGCATGTTCCTAGCAAGCACTAATTCCACACAGGAGAAATGGCCACACTCCAGCAAAGTCAGGAGGCACACACTCACTTTTGGCTCCCGTCTTCTTCCCTGTAGTCCTGCAGGCTATGTAGGACCTAAGCCATGGTGGCTCTTTACTCTCTGAAAATTAAGCAATTCTGGTGCTTCCCAAAAGACTCCTTTGGTCCAGGGTCCTTGTAGGACCTGCCGATTGGCTCACCCGAGTTTCTGTGAAGCCTTCTTGCGCATGCTTTCTTCCCAGCTTGGCATCTTCCTCAACACCAAGTATACCTCTCCCCTTCTGAAACTAATATGCTGCCCTTCCTATGTGAAGATAAGACACTGGCTTCATGTTGTCCTCGAGGTGATGGGATAGATCTGTACTGACCTGTTTTCTCTCCCCGTTCCTGTGCCCAAAGGTCCCTCCTGGAAAGCCAGTCTCTGGGACAGGGTACGGGGTAGGCTCAAGGAGAAAACAAAACCACCCACTTGTCCCTGTTGTGTGGGCTTGCTGGGATCACCGTAGCCAGCTAGCCACAGGCATGCCCCCTCCTCAGAGAAGCCACTTCCTCATTTGGAGCCCCTCAGTCACAAGGAACAGAGTTTTCACATTTTTCATCGTTTGTGTTTTCCTGAAACTCAGCTCTTCACTGTGACCTGTGTTCTGCTACTGGCACATTTGAAAACAGATGAAATTTAATTTGGGAGTCCTTGGTCTCCTTTTCCAGACCTCTCTTTAGCTCTTCCACCAGTCTCTCATGCTTTCCAGGTGCCAAGAAATCACCATTACAAATAGCTCTTATTTGTTAGGAACTTACAACGTGCCAGGCACTGTTCTAAGAGGTTTACATGGAATAATTAATCCACAACATAACCTTGTGGGGTAGATACTGCTATTGTCCATTTTATAGAAGAAAAAAATGGAGGCACTGAAAGTTAGGGAAGCAGCTCAAAGCAAAGTCACACGGTTAGCAAGTGGTAGAGCCAGAGCTGTCCCCAGAATCTAGAGCCCACGCCCTCAACCACAACACAAACTATCTCCATTCTCCCCCACACCGACGATAGCATCTTCCCACGCATTAGAAGACCGCCGCTGCTGCCCCCTTCACACCCTGGCTGATGCTGTCCTCTCTCTGGAACGCCCTCCATGTCTCCTCACCCTTCGAGGTCCAACCCAAATGCCACTTACCCCAGTGTTTTCTGACTCCCTCCCCTCGCAATTCACTGCTTGCTCTATATTCCATAGCATCTCCTTTCATAAATCTGCATGTGTCCCCCACGTTCATGTGCTGGAAACTTGATCCCTGATGCAGTGGTGTTGGGAGGTGGGGCTGAGTGGGAGGTGTTTGGATCATAGGGTCACCACCCTCATGAATGGATCAATGTCATTATCTCTGGAGTGCATTTCTTATCAAAGGATGTGTTCGGCTTCACTCTCCCCACTCTCTCTTCTACCGTGGGATGATGCCACGAGAAGGCTCTCTCCGGGTGTCAGTGAGGACTTCCTTGGGCTTTTCAGCCTCCAGAACCATCAGTCAATACATTTCTGTTTATTATAAATTACAAAATCTCAGGTATTCTGTTATAGCAGCACAAAACAGACTGAGACAACATCTGTTAAAGAATCCTGACAGTTCATAATCCTTGTGTCTGCCTCAGAGACTGAACAATTTGATAGCAGGGACCAAGGCCATTCATCTATGAATCCCACTGGGGAATATGTACCTTTCAGTGAACTTTGGTCTAGTTCTCACTAACATGTAAGTGGCTGATAGGGAATCATATGTTGCTTTTATTGTGAGATATTTTATTTTAACAAAGTCCTAAGCCAGGATTTTAAGTTACCATGACAATATTTTAAGAATTAACAAGGAAGGAAAGCCTTTATTTTCTGTATAGGAAAGGCTTTACTTTACCCCTCTGAAAGCCATGTGGGGAACCTGCCTACTCATTAAGTAGAATGTGATTCTGCATCAACAGCTTGAGTACTTCCAAAGGAAAGGGCTTAAGTGGTCCCTTCCCCTGTATCCCCACCCCTATCACTTCCTGCTAGGTACCCAGAACCTAGGGGAAGAAAAAGGCTAATACTGGCAGAAAATGAGCTAAACTGAGATTCCTGGTGAACTACCCCGCAAGATGAAACCCTTTTCTTTCACAGCAATGGTGGCTGCAATCTCCTTGCTTGGCACAGGGCAGAAGTAGGTTATCACAGCATGC